CTGCCAAGTGAATTAATAATTCCATTTTTTCAGTTGGCGGCAAGGGGAGGTTCGTTGAAATATTGAAATATGACAGCATTATTGAAATGGAAAACGCCGAAATTCTATCAAGAAAATGTATCACACCTCCAATGTGAAACATAATAACGGTTATGGAATTGAAAACTGACGTTCCAAATCAGGAGACAGAATCAATAATAAATTAATAACAGGTGGCGCCTTTTAATGATTTTGAATTGTCCAAAAACTGAAATTTAATTTGCAAATTTCAAAGAATTTTTAAATGGAAAAACTGGTCAAAAATGGAATATTTTGTTGTCAATTAATTAATATTAATTTGGTTTTTGGAATGCTTTTTTTCTTCCATGCAGCTTACAAGGCGCACACATGCTAGCCACCACAGCGACCGAACAAATTTTGACTCCGAATAAATGCAAATCACATGCAGGCTACGTTTTTTCGCTTTTCCATAAAATGTTTGTAAAACGTTTTGAATTTCAGAGGCAGTGAACAAAGTTGTCCATATTAGCATACATATGTGTATCCAGTCGGTCCAACAGTCAGTTAGTTGTCCACCAGCATAGAGTCCATAAAAATTCTCAATGTTGTTAAAGTTGTTCCTTTTTTTATAAAAAAAAGAAATAATAATTCTTTTTCTGTTTTGAATTTCAAACACTATTGGCCTTGGTGATTTATTAATGTGGAAACCGCACTGAGCGGACATTTCAAATAATTTATAACAATTTGCTTCATTTTTGTGAAAATATTTTTGCAAAATATTAAATTGCTACCAGTTGTTCGGTTTGACAGTAATAAATTAACATTTTAATGATGGATGTGAGAGAGGGAGAAAAAATAATCACAATCATGCAATTTTAGGCTCAATCGTGGATTTTTAACCAAACTCATAAAGCGCCATCTTTTAGTGATGACATATATACCTAAGGATATAAAGTACTGATTAAAAATTCACCACCCTTCTAAAAATTGGACTTACCAAAAATCACTCCTCACTCAGAAATTTATCTCTCCAAAGCGAAAAAAAGCTAACAATTCCTATGCTCCTGATTCTGAACTTATACAGCGCCATCTTTAAGTGATGACCACCATCTTCTAAAAGGACATAAAGTTTTCATCTTTTCATCTCTTTGTAGAGCTTTCTTGTAAATTACTCTAAAATTGGTCTTTCAAAGCAGGAAAACCAATAATCTCAGTGTTTGAATCATATAACCTATAAAACGCCATCTATTATTGATTACAAACTTTTGGCACTTCACGAAAGGCAGGAAAAGTTGATCACTTAATTAGCCAACGATCTAAAACATAGACTTATCAAAAACCACTTCTCAATAAATTTAAAATCTGCCTCTCCCAAGCAAAAAATGTTTATGCTCTTGATTCTGAACATATTCAACGCCATCTTTAAGTGATGACAGCCCTATGTTTATAGAGAAATAATTAGCAAAGACTCTTGAAACTCAGAAAAGTGTTCTTAGAGAAGACAAAAATAATATCCTTAGAAGATCAGAAGGACTCTTCTCGTACTGAAGACTAGAATATTAGGGACTATAATCACTTTTCTGACTTTCAAAAGTCTGTACTAATTTTTTTCTTTTTAAAAAATAGGGATACAATCACTTAAAGATGGCGCTGAATATGTTCAGAATCAAGAGCATAAACATTTTTTGCTCAGGAGATGCAGATTTTAAAGTTATTGAGGAGTGCTTTTTGATAAGTTCAGGTTTTAGATCGTTTGCTAATTAAGTGATCCACTTCTCCTCCATCACTTAAAGATGGCGCTGTATATGTTCAGAATGAAGAGCATAGGAATTGTTTTTTTTTTTTTGCTTTAGAGAGCCAAATATAAGAGTTATTGAGGAGTTTTAGATCTTTTCCTAATTAAGTGGTTCACGTTTCCTGCCTTTCGTGAAGTGCCAATCTAGCTTGCAAAATTTTGATTCAAACACTGAGATTATTCGTTTTCCAGTTTTGAAAGACCAAATTTAGAGTAATTTACAAGAAAGTTCTACAAGGAGAAAAAAGGATCAAAACTTTCTGTCCTTTTAGAAGATAGTGGTCCGAAGAGGCGGAATATAAGTTGCAGAAAAATCTAATCAAAATCTTTCTCAATTATTTGAAGTTCCAACTGCATCTCTTTCATTAAAGGGGTTTCATCAATAATATGGATAGGATTGAGATTGTTTGATTTCTTAGCTTTGGAGAACCATATTTTAGAGTTATGTCTATTAGTGAAATTCTGCAGGTTTTCTCCATTTATTGAATTTCCACTTAAAATTTTCAAAATAAATGTTTTTTCACTATTAGATGGCGTTGTATTAGATTAAGAATGACAAGTTCAATAGTTTCTAAGTGAAATGTTTCAATTTTTCTCCATTTGGTGAATTTTCACTTAACAATTTCAAAACAAATGCTTTTTTCACTAAAGATGGTGTTGTATTAGATTAAGAATAAAAGGTTCAGGAATTGTTAGTCTTTCTACTTAAAGCGCCATATTTAAAGTAGTTCTCAGGAAAACTCCTGAAGGGTCATGCCCAAGTTTTTAAAATTGTCCACCTTTTCTCCATTCGGCGATGTTTTAGTCATAGCTTTCAAAGCAAAGACTTGTTTTCCCTAATAGATGGCGTTTTAGTAGCTCAAGAATTAAAGGCACAGTAATTTTTCGGTTTCCAACTAGAAGCACCTTATTTAATGTCATTTAGAAGAAAACTCTTTAAGAGGAACCAATTGTTCTCTTAGGAGATTTTTCTGGCTCTTCGAAAAGTAGGCAGTGGATAGAAAATTCCATAACATCACAAGATGGCGGTCAGAACAGCCGGAAATCTGAAAGATTTATAATTAAATTATGCCTACTTTTAATCCATTGGGTCAAGTTTAAATCTTCAAAGGGCATACATCATCGATAGATGGCGCTGACAAGGTCCGAGAAAAAATAACAGGGAATTGATGTCGATATCGTTTGGATATTTAGTCCATATTTCTATCCGAACATTCTTGAAGTGGATATCGTACATATACCTTCTCACAAAATTCCACCAAAATGTTGGTGTTGAATGTTAAATTATTGTTTTATAAACATATAAGTTTTTTATCACTAAAAGATGGCGCTGTATAAATTCAAAATCTAAGGTATTGTAATCGCATTTGTTTCTATTTGATTTTTGAATTCTATCCTAAATGTTGTGAGAAAGTTTTGACAATTCCAAGATTTTAATAGTTTAGTTATTCAACTACCACTTTTACTTCTTCCGATGAAATTCTAATCATTGTCAAAGACATAACACTATAAAGACTGGACAAAATGCATATGGGCTTTAATTTTTGAATCTGGTAATAGATGGCAGGCGACATAACAGAAATGCATTACAAAATTTTAGAACAATATGTTATTCCTATATCGCCGAAAAATGGCGGACATACGCGGAAAAAAGAAGACAGGGAGGCCAAATTTTAGAGTTGTTGAAAAGTGATTTTTGTAATTCCATGTTTTAAATAGTTTGTTAATTAAAGATCGAATTTTTCTCCATTTGGGAGGAGTTCTAATCATTTAAAACAAAAGTTTGGCATCACTTCTAGATGGCGTTGAATCGCCTCGCGGGCTAAAGGCATTGGAGTTGTTGCCTTCACTTCATTAAGGCCAAAATTTGGGGAAATTTACAAGTAAGCTTTCCAAGAAGAACTTTTGTATAGGAGATCATAGATTGGAAATACGTTTTCCCACTAAGTTCCATAACTTTAAAATATGCATGTCTGAAGAGGAGGATTGAATTTGCTGAGCAAAATTATTTGGTAAAGCACCCTTTTCCTTCTTTAGTTGAAGTTCAAATCACTGCTTTATAATTACAACTCATTAATCACAAATAGATGGCGCTGCATATGTTTAGGAGCGAAGACAAAGGAATTTTTCATTTCCCTGTTTTAGAGAATCAAATTGCAGAGTTATATTCACAGATTTTGAGGAGTAAAAATTCCATGTTTTCAATGGTTTGCTAAGTAAATGCTCCTCTCTTTCTCCATTGAGTGAAGCTCCAATCAATGCTTTTATCACTTATAGATGGTGTCCTCTGATTGAAGGCATTGGTTTACTTGAATGGAGGAACTTCATAGTTACCACGCTGACTGTTTTGGAGACGCAAATTGTAGAGTTATATCCTGAGATGTTGAGGGGTGGAAATTCCAAGTTTTCAATGTTTTGCTAATTAAATGCTTCACTTTCTCTCCATACAGTGAAGTTAAATCAATGCTTTTATCACTTATAGATGGCGTTCTAAGATTATAGGCATTGGTTTACTTGAATGGAGAAACTTTATAGTTACCACGCTGACATCACTTATAGATGGCGCTGCATAGTTTTAGGAGCGAAAATGTAGGATTTACTTGATTTCCCGTTTTGGAGACCCAATTGTAAATTTATATCATGAGATGTTGAGGGGCTGAAAAATTCCAAATTTTTAATGTTTTGATAATTAAACGCTCCACTTTTTGTCCCATCAATACTTTTATAATTTATAGATGGCGTCCTGAGATTAAAAACTTCACTGCTTTAGTGGATAATATGTCGGGGCAATAATCTGATGCATTGAGTATTCCTCTATATCTTACAATCTATAACTAAATGATCCACTTTTCATGAATTTTGTTTCAATCATTGTTTACAGAAAAACAGAATCACTAACAGATGTCGCTGTATCAGCTCTAGGCATGAAGGTGTAAAGATTATTTGTTTTATTTGACCAAATTCTGGAGTAAATAAGAATATTGAAGCAGTTTTCCTTTTTTTTTATTCTCGTTTTTTATGAGAGATTTTTGTTAAACAATGGAGGTCTTTTTCACTAAAAGATGGCGCTGAGTTATATTAAGTTTCTATTCTCACAGTTTGAATTTCTGCTCTCTAATTCTCTTTGACCTTCTCTTGCTTCATGGGCTTACTATGTTCCATTTTAAAATTTTTATTAATTTTTTCTTTCTTTTCTCCATTTCAGATCTATCAAATCTTCTATGTAATGCTGACATCAGCCAACTCCCCACGGCCGGCTTCATGGATTCTCGAAAAATCCCTTGATGGTGTGAATTTTCAACCATGGCAATATTTTGGTCGTTCCGATGCAGATTGTCGCCAGCGTTACGACTTGCCAGGGCAAAATGGAAAATATTTATTTAAGAATGACACCGAAGTTATCTGCACCACACAATTCTCCAAGGCCTTGCCAATGGAAAATGCCGATTTACATGTATCGCTGTTGAAAAATCGTCCCGGAGCAATGGAACAGACGCAAGATATCATGGATTTTATAACGGCCCGTTATATTCGTTTTCGCCTGCAGGGCATGCATTCGACGGCGAATTTAGATAACAGCGTGTATTGGCAACTGGATGCAAATTCGCTGGAAAAGCGTAGCTTTTATTCCCTAAAACAAATACGTGTCAGTGCAAGACTCAATTGCCACGGCCATGCCGAGAAGACCCGAGAATTGGCAGAGAAGCCAAAGGGTCAAATGGAATTTTCCAATTTGGAATCGACGCTGCAATGTGAGTGTGTGCACAACACCTGTGGCCCGGATTGTTCACAGTGCTGCCCTCTGTATCAGGATAAACCATTTCGTAATGGCACCACTCGGGAGGCAAATGAATGTGAAATATGCCAGTGTAACAGTCATGCTGAATCGTGTTTTTATGATCCTTTCCTGAGGCGTGGTATATGTCAGGATTGTCAGAATAACACCACGGGTAATGAATGTGAGCAGTGTCTACCGGGATTCTATCGTCCTGTGGGATCCCTCAGCACTGATGCCTGTTTGCCCTGTGAATGTTCGACCAAGGGATCCCAGGGCTTGTGCCAGGCGGAGGGTGGCCAATGTATCTGCAATGAAGGCTTCCAGGGCCGGTACTGTGAGGAATGTGCCCAGGGCTATTATGGTGAGGATTGTCGCAAATGTGAATGCGACTCTCGAGGCACTGTGGCAGATACCGAATGTTCGGGACTATGTATGTGTAAATACAATGTTGAGGGGGAGACATGTGCCAGATGTCGTGATGGTTTCTATGATCTGAGCGGAGATAATGTGGATGGCTGTTCGCCATGTTGGTGTTCCGGTTTGCAGGCAACCTGTTCCAGTGCCAAGTTATCCACGTTGGCTTTTGAAACCCTCAACGATTGGAAGGTAACGGATATAACGTTGTCACAAATGGCCATACCGACATTGGATACTGATACGAATTCCTTGAGCTATAGCATGTTTGATTTGAGCGATGTGGAGGCCATTTATTGGTTGGCACCCCAAGGATATTTGGGCAATCGTTTGACAAGTTATGGCTCGCGTCTTTCGATTCATGTCAATTGGGTGACGATACGTGGTGACACTTCGGGCAAACCCACGGCGGGACCCCATGTTATATTACTGGGTAAAAATGGCATGAAAATTGCCTATGGCGATGAAGAATTTACCCGAGGCTCCTCGGCGGTGATAAATATCACCTTGGAAGAAAATCAATGGTATCATGTCCCAGCCCAGGTTCAGGACATTAAAACGAGAATGCGTCGCACTGATTATCATGGCACCGAGGTGACCCGATCCCATTTTATGTCGGTATTGACAAGCCTGGAAGCAATCCTAATAAGGGCAGCATTTCACACCGACCAGGTGGAAACGAATTTGGAACGAGTTATAATGTTTTCGGGTGGCACGGAGCTGGGTGGCGTGGCCACAACGAGGGTGGAGCAGTGCGCCTGTCCGCCCGGTTATACGGGTCTGTCATGTGAATCATGTGATTTTGGTTATATTCGCACCTATGAAAACTCCAGTGATCACCATCAAGTGGGACGTTGTAAACCATGTCCTTGCAATGGCCATTCGAATTCGTGTGATTTGCAGAGCGGTAATTGTGGCAATTGTATGCATAACACCTATGGCGAGAGGTAGGTTCAAGTCCCAAAAATATTTTTCAAAAATGTATTTTTTAGGCTTTTCTTAAGCCAAAAATTCAATCTTTTAATTTCAAACTTCAATGAAACGAAGGGGAAACATATTCCCCTCATTTTCCACATAATATTCACCACCACTATGTCCATGGTGCTGTGCTTGGCTAAGTTCTCTCACCACACACCACTCTACCATTTATCATATTTTCTTACCATCCACATATATTTTCACCCTCTTCTTTCAGATGCGAACGGTGTAAACGCGGCTTCTATGGCAATCCATTGCAGGGTACAGCCAACGATTGCCGACCATGTGCCTGCCCCCTGCTGGTGGCTAGCAACAACTTTTCGCCCAGTTGCCAACTGAAAACCTATTCGATTATGGACATCAACCCCGTCTATGGTGTGGTGGAAAATGCCGAATACATTTGTACCCAATGTCCGCCCGGCTACACTGGCGACCATTGTGAAATGTGCGACGATGGTTATTATGGCAACCCCACAGAGGTAAGTTGGAAATAAAAACAATTTTAATTTTTAATGGGATATAAATATATTTCAATTTCAGAATTAGATCTTAGGCCTTTTTTAAAGAAATATTTTTTTTTCAGATTTGAACTAAGGGAAAGATATCCAATTTTTGAATCCATTCATTTTTTTTTTGACAAAAAATGAACCACCTTTCACAGAGTGTCCCTATTATAAAAATGGTCACGCTTATTAATAGGGGGTTCACTTTTAGAGTATGCGTTATATTTTTTTAGACCCTCCACTATAGTATGGGGAGTATATTAAGTTTGTCATTCCGTAACACCTCGAAATATACATTTTAGACCCCACAAGGTATATATATTCTTGATCAGCATAAAATTATATGTCCATTTTGTGATGTCCGTCCGTCTATCCGTTTATTCATCTGTGGAAATCACCCTAGCTTCCGAACGAAATTAAGTAGGTTGTTCAAGTTTTACTCAAATGTGTGTTATGTCTGTAGGTCCTCGTTTTGGTATAGCCCCATATAATGATAACTCCTTATTTTCGGCATTTTGGTGACTTAAGCGACATTAAATACCGGAAAAAGTGGGTTTTTGAAGTTCGCAATGGATACTACAGCCTAAGACAGAAATTTGTCTGTTCAGCTCCACGTCTTGATTTAGCCCCCGTATAACGGTAGCTCCCGATATACGGCATTTTTGATGATTTTAGCGACATTATTCACCGGAATTGTTTCAAATTTGGTGTTTGAAGTTCTTAATGGATGCTTCAGCCTATGACAGGAGATTATCTGTGCACGTCCACGTTTTCGTGTAGCCCCCATACAACGGTAGCTCCCGATATTCTGTATTTTCATGATCTTAGCGACATTATTTACCGGAATCATTTCAAATTTCGTATTTGAAGTTCGAAATGGGTACTACAGGCTATGAAAAAACATTTTTATATGCAGGCCAATGTCTTCGTATAGTCCTCATATAACGGTACCTCCCGATAGCCGGTATTTTGATAATTACAGCAGCATTATTCACCGGAATCGTTTCGAATTTTGTATTGGAAAATCTTAATGGGTACGACAACCTATGGAAAAAAATTTTGTATGCAAGTCCACGTTTTCGTAAGCCACCATATGACGGTACCTCCCGATATTGAGTATTTGGATAATCTTAGCGACATCATTCACCGGAATTGTTTCAAATTTGGTGTTTGAAGTTCGTAAATTGAAGGAGGGCCTTAATGGATGAACATTTTGAACAGTTATGGTGGAGGTTCCAGAAGTGGTAGATCGACGTATATCACCTTCACACCATATCGCGTAAGAGTAGAAATATAGAGATGTGTGAAATTTAAAGAGAATCGGATGCTCTTTTAGAATTTTATGAGCCTTTTGTTATTTCAAATCTTGACCCCTTTGTGGGAGAGGAATCAGAAGTAGCATTCCAATATATTTCAACTTCATACCAGACCTTGTTATGTTATGTTATAATGTTGAGATGTTAAAATTTAAAGAGAGGACCTGAAGCTCATTTAGCATTTTATGAGAGTTAAAATTATTCAAAAATTTTGACCCGTTGTGGGGGAGGTACCAGAAGGAGTGGGTCGATATATTTCATCTTCACAAAAAATATTGTGTTAGTACGAAATATTGTGATTTGTACAATTTGAAGAGAATACGATGCTTATATCACATTTTATAAGCGTTTTTATTATTCAAAAATTTGACCCGTTTTGGGGGATGTGCCGGAAGTAGTGGACTAATATATTCCACATCTTGTGTTAGTATAAATATTGAAATGTGTGAAGTTGAAAATGAATCGGATCGCTCTTTTCGCGTTTTATGAGATCCATGGTTATTTAAAATACTGACCTCTTTGTGGGGGAGGTACCAGAAATGGTTGATTAATATCTACCATCTTCACACCAGATCTTGTTCTAATAGAAATATTGGAACGTGTAAAAATTGAAGAGAATCGTATGCTTATTTCACATTTTATAAGAGTTATGATTATTCAAAATGTTGACCCTTTGTGAGGGAGGTACATGATGGAGTAGGCCGATATTGTCCTGTTTCGCACCTGAGCGAAAACTGTCAAAAATATTGGGTCTGGAACCTTTGCACAAATTGGATGATTCTTTCTTGTTCTATACGGTAAAATATTTTCTGTGAAGTGTTTGACCTTTTGTGTGGAACGAGCCAGAAGGAGTGGACCGATATTTCCCATCTCCGAACTCGATCTAAGTTTGATAATAATATTACGATGTACCAAGTACCGGATACTCCCTTCGCGAGTTATTGTGCGCACCAGTCAAGCAGACAGACGAAAGGACACCACTAGATTTATTCCCAATGCCCTGAAACGTTTTTTTTTTTTTTTTCAAAAGAGACCTAAGGTCTAAAACAGTTATTTCAATGAGACACGATTTAGCCGTATCAAATAGTACATACTCTCTGGCTGAGGGTATAACAATACTGGTAGCAAGTCTTCTATCAGGGAAGACTTGCCCTTCACCTATTGAAGGTCCTCAGAAAGTATTCTGTGGACAGAGGACTGAAATAAGCTCCTCCACACTATAGAAGGTCTTCCAGCCATAGAAGACTATTCACAGAATGTCAGCAAGGCTTATAAGGACTGGAATCTCCTTTATCCCCTTTGTACCTTTTTAGAACTCTTCTATACGCAGAATATTTGTAAAATAACTTAGGAGGGATTACCTTTATTGATGAATCCTGCCTGGTTTTCTATCCACAAAATTTCAGTACATAGTGCTATTCACAGTAGTCTTGATTTTCCATTATTAGAAGACTTTAGAAGTTATTCCCTCCACAGAAAATCTAAAAAAATTGTCTATCTACAGTAGTCCTATACAAAGTCTTTCCACCACGGAAGTCTTACAGAGGACCTTCTATTTGCAGTAGGTTCAAATATGTAATTTCTTGAATCCATGAAAGACTTCTAAAAGGATTTTAGGCTTTCCTGTACAGAGAAGTTATAAAAATTCTTCTGTCTTAAGAAGATACACAAGTAATTTGCAGAAAATTTTCTATCCTAAAAGTACTGTTGACAAGTCTATGAGGAGAAGACCAATACAAGTCATCCAAATGTGGAAGACTTGTAGATAGTCCTTCTCTTACGGAAGTCTAGTAGAAGTTTTTCTTTGAACAGAGGTCTGAAATAAGGTCTTCAACACTGTAGAAGGTTTTCTCTCTCTGGAAGACTTATGGAAGGTCTACTATTCCTAGAAGGTCAGCAGGTCTTCTAAAGACTGAAGGCTCGTAAAAAAATTCTGAACATCTTTAATCCCCTTTGTACCTTTAAGAAATCTTCTATACAAATAAGATTTGTAAAATAATTTAAGAGGACTTCTCTTTACAGAAGAATCCTGGCAGATTTACTATCCATTCTTGCTTTTCAATCATTAGAAGACTTTAAATGTTGTTTCCTTCACAGAAAACCTAGGAAAATCCATGGAAGGCTCACAGATGAACTTCTATTTGTAAGAGGTTCGAATATAGCTTTTCATTTAGAGAAAAGTTCGATTCTCAGAAAAATTATGGAATTTCTTGAATACATTAAAGACTTCTAAAAGGTTTGCAATCCATAAAGAAAACGTCTAGAAGCTATCCTATTGGAAGAATTTCTGTAGAATGTCCGCAGAAGAATGTCTTAATCCAAAAACGTGCTGCTATTTATGTGGCACCATTAGGTGAAGACCTATGGGAGAAAAAGGTCTTCTATGGATAAAGCCTGCTACTTTCTCGAGCCTTTTGACAGTTTTTGGCTTAAAGAAAGTCTCTAATGAAGTCGGTCTTTAATAAGGAGGAGACTTCTATAAAGTCTCTCCACAGCAGAAATTTAGAAAACCTTCAATCCATTGACGATTTTTGGAAGGACTTTTACATATATAGGACTTGAGGGAGATTTGTTATTAGCATATGCCCGGTACGTGGTCATATATCCATAAAAAATTGATAATGGCATGAAATATATAGAATTTTAGGCTTTTCCGTCCCGAGAAGCTGTAGAAGGTCTCCTGTCTTAAGAAGGTACATAGAGGTTCATTTTTTGGTTGATTTATCTTAAATCAATTTATTAACAGAACACGCAGACCATATTTTAATACTTTTATGTAATTGTGAATATTTCATTTTTAGATTGGAAACTCTTGTCGTCCCTGTGATTGCGATGGAGGCCCTTGTGATGTTTTTACCGGAAAATGTATTATTTGCGAGTAAGTAATAATTTTTATTTCAAATAAATTCCGCTGCATTGATTTTAAAAATTTTTATTTACCTTATTTTTTTATCAAAATTTCAATGTCTCAAAATCTATTTTTTTCTCAAAATTTATTTTCCCGTCTAGGGGCAACACTGAGGGCTGGCACTGCGAACGCTGTAAAATGGGTTTCTGGGGTGACCCCTCGGTGGGCTGTGAACCCTGCGCCTGTTTCGAAGAGGGTTCGGACAGTGCTGTCTGCGATAGCACTGATGGTCAGTGCTTGTGTAAACCTCGCTACGCTGGACAAAAGTGTGACGAATGCGACGAAGGTTATGCTCTGCTTGACCAACAATGCATCCCCTGCGGCTGCGATGAATTTGGCAGCATTGATGCGCACAGCTGTGATCCGGAAAATGGTCAATGCTACTGTAAACCAGGTGTGCAGGGCCTGAAATGCAATGAGTGCAGTGAAGGTTATTTTGGCCTGAAAGAGGAGTCCAATGGCTGTACGGGTGAGTTCAAAGAGATATTTTTTATATTTTGAAAATTTTAGATGTTTTGAAAATGTTGTAGAATTTATATGAATTAAGAACTCGTTGTGGAATATCAACTATAAATTGTTTACTGAGCCTCCAGCATTGTTTGGTCATTATGCCATAGGCGGTATTTTATATTTCAATTTTGAAAACGATTTTACATTCCCTTACTCCATAAAGAAATATTTTCATAATCATCATTTGTGGCATTAACATGTGATCGGCTGAAGATTAAAAGCAGATGATCAGTGATCACTTTTCATTTTCATAATAAAAAAATACATAAGACATATGGGACTTCGGGACGGACAGATAAATGAAATGTTTTTATGCCTCGCCAAGAATAAAACGCAACGTTTTCAATAGGCCAGACAGGCTGTAATTGACCTGTTGCACTATAATTGACGATCGCAGCAGTTAATGATGATTGTTTTTTGTTGTTGTTTTTTTTGGGAGCTTTACAATCTCTCCCAAAATAACAAAAAGTGAAAAAATAATCATTTCAAAATCCCCTCAAAACAAAACGTATATCTTTCTGATGTTTACATTTGAAGTGGTTTCCATTCTTTGAAGAGCTGCAAGCGGGCAAGAATGCTTGACTTGTGACGTCTTATTTCTCATTACATTTCTCCAATTCTGACGGTTTTTTGGTAAAAAGGCAGCAATGCAATTTATTTTAATCATAATTATTTTCCGCTTAAACATTTTTTCTTTCAATGGCAGTATTGTATCGATCGGTGATATTCGATTGATGTGTGGTCAATTTCATGTTTGGAAGAGAGGGGAGGTGGAAATTTTGATATTTTTTTCTGGGTTATTTAATAATAATTTGATGGCATTATTATGAGCCGTTTTATATGGGTCAGTATGTCTATTGTGTTTTATATTGAGAGAGAGAGGGAAAGAGATAGAGTTTCTTTGGTTCGGTAAAAAATGTTTTGAAATCTGAGGAAGTTGATTTTCGAAAACAATAATTATATCGAAATAAACATTTGAAATTATTGAACATAAACAATATTTTAATGTTGAGGGTATATTAAATTTGCGATTCCGTTTGTAACTCCTCGAAATGCTCATGTCAGATCCAACAAAGTATATATACATATTCTTGATCAGCGTAAAATTCTAAGTCGATTTTGCGACGTCCGCCTGTCTGTCTGTTGTAATCACATTATCTTTCGAAAGAATTGAGATACAAGGCTAAAATTTTGCACACATGTGTATTTTGCCAGTAGGCAGGTTAAGCTCGTAAGTGAAGTTCGTAATGGGTACTATCCTATCGTGCCCAGGTCCTCGTCTTCGTATATGTGTATGACAAAAAGTATCTATGTAGGTCCACGCCTTCCCATTGCCCCCATATGACGTTACCTCCCAATATTCGGTATTTTGATGATGTTAGTGACAATTTTTTATCAGAATTGTTTTCAACTTCGTATTTCAAGTTCGTACTGGGTACTACAACCTACAACAAAAAATCGCGTATGCAGGTCCTTGTCTTCGTATAGTCCCCTTCTAACGATACCTCCCTATATTCGGTATTTTGATGATATAAGCAACACTATGTACCGGAATTTGTTTTAAATTTCGTAAGTGAAGTTCGTAATGGATACTACAGCCTATAATATAACCTTCCTTCAAAGTGGTGGAGGGTATTAAAATTTCGGTCTTACCGAACTTAGTTGCTTTTAACTTTTTTTTTTAATCAATTGTGCTACGAAATCTTCAGAGCCTTTTTATACCCTCAGCCATATGGCTGCAGGGGGTATATATCATTTGAAACGGCCAAAACGTGCCTCATAGGAATGACGGTTTTAGACCCTAGGTCCAAATGCCCTTCAGGACCTTTGGAGTCGATTTAGGGGTATCCGTCTGTCTGTCTTTCAGGCTGGTCCAAACTTGGTACATCATAATATTACTATCAAACTTATATCGACTTCGAAGATGGACAGCATCAGTACACTCCTTCGGGTACTTCCCCCCACAAAAAGTCAACATTTTCAAAAAAAATATTTTACTTCATAGACTGAGTAAGAATCAGCCGATGTTGTGCAAATTTTGCAAGTAAATGTTACAAAATTTGGTACTGGGTAATGGGGTAGAGTTGAATTTGATATGGAGGTCACTCTTAGTCGCTAGGATTTACATATGGAGACGTTAAAATAATTTTGGACAAAAATATTGGATGTGGGTCCATTGTGCAATGGTTTTACTAATATCCTCCTCAGTAAACTTCGAAATGAACGATTTTGAAGAATATGGACAATTTCCCCCACATAGGGTCAATATTTTGAATGAGCATTCGATTACTTTTTTAAGGCCATGAAAAGCGAAGTAAGCATCTACAACTTTCAACCTCGTCACATCTTAACATTTCAAACAAGATCAGGTGTAAAGATGAAATATATTGGACCACTCCTTCTATTACCTCCCCCACAAAGGGGTCAAAATACGCTTATAAAATGCGAAATATGCATTCGATTAATTCGAAACTTCAAATATTCTAATATTTCTACTAACACAAGATCTCTTGTAAAGATGGTATATATCGGTCCACTTCTTCTGGTACCTTCTTCACAAAGAGATGTACATTTGGAATAACCCAAACGCTTATAAAATGCGAAATAAGCATCTGATTCTCTTCAAATTTCAGAAATACCAATATTTCTAATATATGGTGTAAAGTTGCAATATGTCGACCCACTTCTTCTGGTACCTCACCCATAAAGGGTCAAAATTTTGAATAATTGAAAAGCTCATAAAATGCGAAATAAGCATTCGATCTGGAGTGAAGATGGTAGCGGGTAAAAATTTTGAATATTTTTAACTCTCATAGAACATGAAAAGAACATCTGATTACCTTCAAACACATCTTAAGATTTTTATTAACACAAGATATGGATCGATATATTCCATTATGGACCTACTTTTTCTGGAACCTCCCCCATTACGGGTCACAAATCTCCAAATCTCACGCATCCAAATATTTTGATCAATAAAAGGTATGGTCCACCACTTTTGGTAACCTCCCCCCCACACCCTCAACGGGTTGAATTTTCTAAAGATTATAACTGTCATAAAATGCAAAATAAGCATCCGATTCTCTTCAAACTTCACACATCCCAACATTCTTTCCAAAACAAGATCTGGTGTGAAGATAATAGATATCAACACACCCCTTGTGGTTCCTTCTTTAATTGTCAATACGTATATCTCTTATAAAGTGCGGAATAAACACCATTGGTCTAAATGTTAATAAAATATTTTAAATTTAAGTACACTCTGATAGTGCCTTCTTCTGATATGGAATTCATTTTTTCAATTTTTGCTGTTTGTGAGGGAGATATTTAAAGGAAGTAATATATATACCCAACGAAATGCAACTAATTTCAGTAGAAATATTACGATGTCTATGTCTTGGGAAAATCAAGACCCTCAGAATTTAAACAAAATTGAGGACTTATTTAAGATGTTCGTTCTTTTCATAATCCAAACATTTTTTTATAATAAAAAATAAATTTTCATAAAAAGAACTCTAACTCAGCTCAGCTAAGTTCATGTAAATCTTGGACTACTAGCCTCCAGCATGAAAAAAACCAAAGTTTGCTATTTTTTTTTTTTTTTTTTGCTTTGCTTTGAAACTAAACAAAAAAACTCAAGATGAACTCATTTTTATGGTCAAATAAATAACTAGTGCAACATTGCTGCCTGACTTACTGCAGTTAGCTGCACTGCTGCCGTGGCAGATGAGCTTAAATGACAACAACCAGGTGAAAAAAAAAAAACAACAAAAACAAAATTCACATTTCTAGCTGCCACAGAAAAGCTACGATGTTTGAGTGAAAAAAACATGATTATGGCTTTAACACATATGTGGATATGTTAGGATATATCCGATTACCTAGTTGGAGGGATGTGATGGAAGGGAGAAGCAGCAAAAAAACAATAGAAGTTTAACAAATATGCCTTACTTATGTCAAAACTTTTTTTCATTTTTAGTAGCTTCAAAAGAGAAAGAAAATATATGGAATAAAATTCTGAAATGAAAAAAAAAAAAAAAATAATAAAAATTAAACATCATTCTTGGCAAGGCCTATTTCATAAGGTCACAAGGGAGTCTAGTTCAGACCCTAGTATGCTATTATGGCGACGAGTCGATCAAAATAGAAGGAAGCTCTAACAAATGTTTCACAAAATTTAAATATAAAAGATTTTACTACGATAACCGATTATCGCCTTATGATATTGAAAAAAATCGCAAAACTTGTAGATTCGTGCAGGTTATGGAGCTATTGTAAACGCATATTTTCGTCCAAATTAAAATATTTATTATTAATTTTTATACCCTCCACCATAGTATGGAGGGTATATTAAGTCTGTCATTCCGTATATATTTTAGACCCTACAAAGTATATACATATTCTTGATCAGCATAAAATTCTATGTCGATTTAGCGATGTCCGTCCGTCTGTCCGTCTGTGAAAATCACTCTAGCTTCCGAACGAATTGAAGTAGATTGATAAAATTTTACTCAAATGTATATTATGTCTGTAGGACTTTTGGTATTGAATATGGGCCATGTCGGTCCATGTTTTGGTAAAGCCCCCATATAACGGTGCCTCCCGATTTTCGGTATTTTGATGATTTTAGCGACATTATTCAACGGAATTGCTTCAAACTCGGTACTTGAAGTTCGTAATGGATACTACAGCCTAAGAGAGAAAATAGTCTGTACAGGTTCACGTCTTCTCATAGCCTCCATATAACGGAACCTACCGATATTCGGTATTTTGATGATTTTAGCGACATTATTCACCGGAATTACTTCAAACTTGGTGTTTGAAGCTCGTAATGGATACTACAGCATAAGACAGAAAATTGTCTGTGCAGGTCCACGTCTTCTCATAGCCCCCATATAATGGTACCTCCCGATATTTGGTATTTTGATAATTTTAGCAACATTATTAACCGGAAATGTT